TATTATTAATAATTATTAATATTCGTACACTTCCTCGCGGACCCCCCAGTAGAAGTCCATTTTTTGGAAAACATTTCTCGCTCACTACATTTCAGTTCCCCCCACCTGCTTTCTGGCTGCGCTGCTGCATTCATTAAAAACAATTACACGTCACAAGCGTCCAATACTTAAATTTCAAACAGTAGTCCAGTAGAGCAAGTCCAACAAAAGCCGCAATTCTGGACCATTATCATGTCTCGCATATATCCCATATTTCCGAAAATCCAGCGTTTCCCACTCCAGATAGAGTATCCACCAGGTAGATAAGCCGTACTCGTGTCGTCGGCAGGGTTCAGCCAAGAGCAATTCCGAGCCGGAGAGGAGGGGTGGCATTCCAACTCACCGTCAAGGTCCCTCGCTCTCTGCCGGCCCATAAGCTCTTTGGAAGACCGAAAGAGACCCACCAGACAGAGACGGCATTATCCGCGGTCCAGTTTGAGAAGATGAGGCCGCTGACACCTCAAGACTTACTTTTGACATCGGCGTTTGGCGAACTATTAAAAGTCTAACAGCACCCCGTTTTTCGGTTAGGGCTCCGATTGTTACCCTGTAACGACCCTTCCGCGTTTAGGAACAAAGGTGCCAGTGCAACGCGGTGCATAGTGACCGATGTGCGGAGTTTACAGTGTCGGATCTGCAAGAATTTAACGTCCCGACAGTTATACTTTCCGTTTATTAATGCACAAACATGTGAGAGTGAGGAAAAAATATGGGATCTCTTAGTAGCTTAGGTACGTCTATCTGTTATTCTAATTAAGAACCCATTTCATTTAAAAATATCTACCTTAATACACCGTCTGTTTTAGGCATACATTAAACCCGAAATTTACATTTTACATGTTAGGTGTGATCCTTTTTTGGTTATCTAATTTATATTTCTATTATAATTTCTAACATGCATTGTTGTTCCATTATTTTTTGGAAACAGTGTTATTCTAATGTATTGTTTTAAATTATAATTTTTAAGTCTAATTGTATCTACAATGGACTGAAATTAAAAACTAACGGTGTTCCCAATAATTTATTCTGTTTGAAATAAAAATTGTTCGATTTTCTTTATTTTGTTCTCATTAAGATTCTCTAAACAACGAAAAAACTGTACGATGAATCTTTAACACCACATATTTAAACAAATATTTGTAAAATTAAAAAACAAGTAGGTGTTCTTTTACTTTATACTGAATTGAAAATTTCAGTTGAATATCAAATATTTACCAGTGGCGTTCACAAATTACCATTGTCTGTCATTATCAGCAAAAACATAGGCTAAACTTACCAATTATGGAACACCTAACCATTTTATTCGTCGTATAAAGCTGTATTTAAAATAGAAAATGCTATGTAATACTATACTATTTTGTTTGTATTAAGCCATATATGAGGATCTTAAATATCATTTATACAGGGTGATTGTACATACGCTAACTGGATAATCATGGGCTAAAAATATGAAGAATTGACACATAAAGCTTAGATATGGCTCCTTACGGAGTTACAGGCTGTTTTATGTAAATGATTTTTGCCCATTACTCAAAACTGTACTGTAAAATGTAATTCAACTAATGCAATGCAATCCCATGACAGAAGACACCGACTTGAATAATAATATGACAAATAAATTACATAATAAAATAAAAATGTTTAATTTAAAAAATCTAGAGAAATAATGACTGAAGGAATAGTAGGTTAATTGCATAGAAAGAAGAATTGAAAAATTGTACCAAAATAAAAATTCCGCCAGTAGCGTAGAAGTTAGGAATGGGAAACTGCCCCTCTACCCCTGTCGTATACATGTGGTTGTAGCAGTAGCCTAAACGATTTTGTAACAATTTTTAATATGTTCTAAAGTATCTATACTTTATGCCAAGTATGATATCAAACAGGGTTAAAGAAATGGGCAAAAATCATTTAAATTTTTTTAAATAAAACACCCTCTAACAGCATTATTTTATGTAAGCGTTATGTGTCAATTCTTCATAGGTATTTTCAGCCTAGGATTATCAAGTTACCGTATGTACTATTAATGAATCACTCTGTATAAAATTAAAAATGTTTAAACGTACAACTTTCCATTTTAGGAAAATCTAGGACCCAATTAAAACAGTAATATAATGTGGAATTCAAAATTTACACTGAAAATGAATTCCAAAGGAGAAATAGAATTACTTTATTCATTTACTTATATATTTTTTTTTGGTTCACCTACTAAACATTTTCAGATTTGCTTTATTTTTCTGTATTCGTAGATCCCAGCTTTCTACAACAAAAACATTCGGTACACAGGTCCTCTGTTACAAAATTTTGTTTCATTAATTTCGGTATACCCTGTATAAGTAGTTTCATTAAAAACTCCTTATATAAACTTTTATTTGATTTCAAAAATTTTTTGTTACTTGTGACGTACTAGATTATGGACGTTGTTATTATGGATAACTTCTTCTCTTTCTGTTAATATCTAATGTTGATACTACTGAATTTTACATAAAACAAATATCTAGTATCTCCCACTTTATTTAAATCTTGAGAAAACCTATTTTTGCAGTTCAAAAAAAACATAAATTTAAAAAAGTGGCGCGTCTGTATTCATGAATAAAACATTTTTCCAATGCAGAACCCTAACATCCCTACATGGAAAGTTGCACAGATTTGATTTTTGCCAAATCTGGTTAAAATACTTTCCTTAATAGTAGATTCTGTCTGGTCAGTTTTTAACATCTGGGACTCCACCATTTAACACGTTTTTCATCTTAACGATCAGTTTATTTTAAAAATAAACATTCAAGATACATTTACAAGTATTACTAACAAATCTGTTGTGTAGTACAGTTAAAACAACATTTTCTCTGATTATTTACGGTCAAGTTATTTGTTATACCGTAGTATTGGTGTGTAGGTGGTACAAAGGTCTCATATTTACGATTATTGCTTCATATATTATTAACCTCTGAGACCTCCCAAAAAGGCACGATATAAATTTTCGGCGTGTTCAGTTTAGTTTTCTCAACAACGATCTTGTTTACCTCGTGGTTTACAAAGTAGAGAAAATTTGCATACATATTTAATTCGAAAACTTTGCAATAAAATAATCGCTTGACAGTGAAATTCCAGCGGTAAAAGTAATTGTTGTAAAAGTTTGAATCGTTATGTAGGTGTGAATAATGAAATATGTATGGATTTGTCATAACAATGTTGTATTAATTTAAGTCCTGCTTCAGTTCTTACCAAACCTATTAATTTCTTTGACTCTAGCTGTAAAAATTTGAGACGTAAATAACTGCTATTTTACGGAATTAATATGTCATATTACGGGAGAGCGTAAAATTTACGATTGAGAGTAAGTTAAAAATAAAAAATTAGTTTGCATTGTTACAATTGCATTCAAGTTTGACATATTTTTATTACATTTCTCGTTAATATTTATTATGCTTACCAATGGATATTAGTGCAAAATCTGTGGTGAAAAACATTATCTGGTCAACACTTTGACGTTTCAAAAATGTCAAAAAATAAGTAAATTTGACTATCTCTTATAAAATGAATATTTTCGTTATTGTTATTACGAATAAAAAACATTGCAGTTTCATTTGCTAACTGAACAAGACTTCCTTCCTATGCGCCTATTGAAGTCTTTAGGCACAAAAGATTTCTCTAAGATAATAAAGATAATGAAACGATATCCTTTAAATATTTAGTTGAACAAATGAATGTAAACAAATTAAAAGATCCTTAGGTACAATTTATTTTCGAGATACAGTAGTATACCTGTACTTGTACCGGTAGATACAAAATTAATACAAGATAAGACAATTAAAATAAGTTTTAGTAGGGCTATGTATTTAGTTAAATGTAAATATTAAGTACTGATGATATATATTTCAATGTATACTAGTATTTATACGTAGATTTAATAGGTGTAATATTTTATTAAATTCAAATATATCTATTTGTTAAGAGCAAAGCTTTAGAAACATTTTTTATATTTTTAATATCTATAGGCACTAAGCTTGTAAATACATGCTTGAAAAGTATTTGCAAGTGAAGACTGAAAAGAAGAAGTCTGTTTAGAAATATTACAATAGAATGTTTAACCTTTCTCTGATATAAAAGAAAGCAAAAAATCATAATCAGTGCTTAATAGATAGCATTACTCACAGGTCTACCTCACATTCGTTCTCGACTTGATGTTTACGGAAACAATTATAACAATTAAGTATAAAATATCACATTCTTAAAGATGCCATTCTTTTAAATCTATGTGGTATTCATTTATATTAGTATTTGTTTTCTTTAAAATCCTTTTTGACTACAGCATTTTAAATGTATTTTATTCTTACAAACAAGTTGTTCTGCAACTAACTCTTCTATAAATATAACCTAACCATATCATGCAAATTATTATGTTCCTGTAAAAGGTAAAAGCAATAAATATTCATTTCATGCAAATAACGTATTATCTTCATTATTACTTCTTTCCACATGGAAGACACTTCCGCCAAATTATTTCCAGTTATAATAAATACACTAGCTTGTGAGTAAAAGTTGCACACTCTGTTTCATTTGTAAATTTTTATTTTCTGTTTGTTTTACGTAAATTAAAAAATATTTTTTAGCTGAAAAAAAAAAGCGAGTGCCTCCTGTGAGGATTGAACTCACGACCCCTGGTTTACGAGACCAGTGCTCTACCACTGAGCTAAAGAGGCTCTTGGCGGGCCGTTCCAACATGACCCTGAAACAATTAGAGTCGAATAAATACTTCTTTAATTTAAAATTTTGATTCTACAATGTTAAATGCTACCTATCATCACCTAAAGACATATCTACACATCTACTGTAACTTCGTCTTTCAAACGTTTGATTGATGATGAGTCACTGTATCTTATTATGCTACTTTTCCCCCAGTTCCTATTTGAATTTGTATAATTTTAGTTATTTTATCTTAACGACAATTAAAATTTGCAGTTCTACAAACTGTTTTGCTAATTGAAGGGATCAGATTAACAGTATAGTCTAACATCAATCTTGATCAGGCTTTTTTACGGCGAAAGTACCTCTTTCACCTCATTTATGGTCTATTAACCTGTCCCTTTTTTAGTCTTCTACCATTTCTCTCTTTGGTTGCAGACAACCAAATCATTGACAACTGTTTCTAATCTTCGATTATGCTTATGACGTTTCCCTCTTTGATGTGGAGGTTTTGGCGTATCAGTTGATTTGTGATGGACCGTTGGACCGTGAACTGTGAACCATTACTCAAAAGATATTTGGTCGAGCTCTAAATTAGAAAGGTAAAATATGTAGATGCATAAGTGAAACAAGACGGCATCTAATTGGACTTTCATTTAGAAAATGCCTTTAAACGACAATATGTCACAGTAAAGGTATGATACGTAAAACAATCAATCAAAACCCTACTGAAACGTTAATACGGAATAAATGTCAAACAAATATGTCGGTTGTATCTATTTAAAAAATTTAATTGAATAACAGACTAGTACAAACATAACCACCACGGGTGTTATAGGATAATAATGCCTGCGTTGACATACACCCCTCTTGCCAAAGGCTCTTGGATAATACAATATCGACCCTAGGTATGTGCATCAAATAGGAACCACCTGTGAAAATTTATTTGCATCTCTATGCGAGCTTTTGACAAATACATAATTCAGATCAGTATATTGTCTGAAAACATTTGTTTCGTTATAGGGAGAAGAGGATGAAGTAAAAATGTAGCCGTCCCCCAACCGACAGCATGTCATCGCCGTCGCCAGACCCCCAGAAGGTAGAGCACGCATACCCGTCCAGCGAGGCAAGCGACCACGGCCTCCTCAGTCATGCCCCCCACGCCTGCACGTGTTCCGAAAAACTTAACGTTCTAGAAGCCCCGAAGACTGAGCTCGCTCACTCCCACTGCGTTTCGAAACCCAATCTTCACCACGTCATCAACCTCAGCCATGCGCCGACGTCCACCAGCCACATCCACCCCATCAGCCAGTCAGTGCACGTGCACGTCCATCCCTCGCCAAAGACAGGGCAGATGCCCAAAATGGTATCGCCTTCCTGCACCTGTCACATTCAGGAAGAGTGCGAGAATATCGGGGATATGGACTCGGGGCAGCAAAATAGGAAGATGGAGGAGGACAGGATAGAAGTGTCTCCTCTGCCTCCTGCTTTACCACCGAGGCCGCCGCCTAGACCTAGGTATGACGGCAGTGGCAGTCTTAACTCAAGATGTCGACCGAGAACTCGTAAGTCATTATTTTAAATGGAATCAATAATATTCATACTTCTACCATTTGCTGACTAATAAACTTAGCAGAGCAAGGGCATGTAGTGGAACCCAAAATATGGTGATTTAACGCAACTTACTTTTATACTAAGATGCACCTTGATAAGTTATAGGCCTTGAAAATGGGGTTTCAAATTTCGAAAAAATCAGTATCTCAGTAATCTTCAACTTAGAAAAACCAAATTTGGTATAAGGCGAGAGTGTACCAAGAGTGTATCGACAATAAGTAGAATTCAATTGAAGCATTTTAAAGGTATGATAAGGGATAATGCACCATTAAAATGTGACACAATTTTTTAACCCGCTGGCGGACTTAGATAACACAGCCCCACAAAAAAAAATATCGGTCTGGTATTCAGACCCATGTATTTCCATGTATTTTTTTCTGCTGAATTCGAATCTGCCTTCAAATTTAGCCCAGCGGGTCTGAATTTTCGGGAAAATACAAAATACAAACAAAACATTATTGAAATAATGCAACTGAAGTTTTTTTCTTATTACGTTACTCATAATCTTATTTTAACATGTAACATTTACTGTTTGTTTTGTTGTCCTCTTACAAACATTTTATTTTAACATTTGACAACCATTTTTTTCTTGTACTTGTATTGCTTTATTGCCATTTTATTTAAATAATTACAATTACATTACAATGTTCTTTAAATTATGAACTGGTTGCGTGTCAACACTGTTATACGCGTGTGTATACTGTGTTGTATATTTTACTATTATTTTTTTTTTTTCATAATGACTTTATTTTACTACTATAATTATTGTTTTTGACGTGTGTAAACACTTTTTGTGTACTAATCACTAATAAATATCTATCTATCTATCTGCCTATCTATCTATCTAATAATTCCGCCAACTGGTTAAAAAAATTTCCCATTTTATTGGTGCAACATCCCTTATCAACCCTTTAAAATCCTCTCACTCACCATTAATGCTCTTGACACACTCACCAATTTGATTTTTCTGAGTTCAAGTAATGTTATTAATGTTATTAGGTTAAAAGTAGTAGATCTAACTTTCATAAATTTCCTTTTTCATAAATGGGACAAACTTTTGAATACTTACAGTTATTTGGAAAAGTAAGTTTTTACACACAAATTAATTAAAAAAGTAAATAGATGTTCTAATACAGTGGTACAATCTTTTAAAATAAAAGATAAATTTATTGACTCCATAGAGACTACCTGATGAAATAATCCTAAGTAAAATGTGGAAACAAAAAGATCTCTTCGTAGTAGCTCTCTTTTACGTGTCCATCTATGTCAAATGTAATGAGAGAACAAAGTTACAAAATATTTATTTGAACGATTACTATTGCAAAAGTGAAAATCAAATTTTAGTACAGAATCGTGGCTTGTGTTACAAATGCGACACACTAATGAAAAATAAATGGAGACTTGTTAACGCTGAAACAATGTCTGATTAAAAAAATCAATATCATTGAACCATGACTATTCGAAAAAAGACTAAACGATTCTCTGTTGAGATGCCCCTGCTTAGTAAAGCAGAAATATATTGGAGTCCAGGTGACAGGATATTACCCCGTTATACCTTTTAAGTTTTAATCGAATTCTCTTCAACTGCCAGAGAAATTTAAAAAACTGGAAATTTGAACGTCGTGTAACGTTTGAAACATAAAAGTAAATGCCAACAGGTTGCAGTAGTTATAAGGAAAATAGAGGAATATTTATTATTTCCCTTTTCTTGTAAATAATTATGAAAACGTCAAATCTTTATGTAGATATACCGTCTAGAAGTATAGGCTGTCCTACGAGAAAAAAAAAATAATATTTCGACCGCGCGTAATCAAAGTTTCACAAAATTTTATTATGGTAACAACTGCAACTAATGCTTACAAAACCATGCTAGTAATTTTATATTTCAGTCGCCAGTGCTGTAGATATAGGGGACCAGCCCTTTTGGTGAAACATGTTTTCTACATCTTTGTTTTTTTTAAATATTACCCTTGTCAAATTTTCGTATTTTCTTAGATTTTGATGTAAATTGCACAATAATGATTGTATATTGGATTTTCGACAGAAATTATAGCTTTTTGAAAGAATTTTAATTGAGTTTGACATATAAAAATAATAGCAAATAAACATAAATTTAAAACAGAAGAATATGTAAGACTATAACATTGTTATTACCAACTTCGTTTTGATTTAGTATTTCTCAGTGTTAATCTATTATATATTTACTTCAAAAATATTTTAAGGTCCATATCCCGAAAACGGTACGTTTGTGAACTAATGTATACCAGGTGATTCAGTTTGGTATTCGTGGTTCCCTATCTCCTTTATTTTAACAAATAACTATAACAAACCCTATATATTTTTAAATCAAACCCTAACCAATGACATTATTAGATCGTCTCCATGCTAACATATGTCAAAATTGCTACAGTCAACTGTTTTTGTTCAAATGGCACATTTTATATTTTTTATCAATTCTGGAAGATATTTTTTCTATATGTAGTTTCATTAGAAATATTTCTAGAAAAACAGCAAAAAAGTTGAACCCTAGTTTTAGTAACTTTATTCTGAAAAATGATAGCCAGCTGTGGAAACAAGTTATTATATTCTTAAAGTAACATTTTATTTTTATTTTTAACACGATAATAATATAACAATTTAAAACAATACTTATTTCAAAGATTCAAAATGAAAGTAGGGTTAATCTTTTTGCTGTTTTTCTAGCAATATTTCTAATGAAACTATAGACTTTATATAGCTGAACGCAGAAAAAAAATATCTTTCAGAATTGATAAAAAAATATATAGTGTGCCATTTGAACAAAAACAGTTGACTATAGCAATTTTGACATATGTT